TTTTGATGGATTCCTGTCTCACATTGAGGTCTTTCATCCATTTTGAGTTTATCTTTGTGTAGGGTGTTAGAGAATGGTCGAGTTTCATTCTTCTGTAGACAGCTGTCCTATTTTCCCAGCACCATTTACTGAAGAGACTGTCTTTGGAAATGATTCTAAGAATTGTTGTGAGGATCAGCATTTGATGGAACAAGTATTCACTTCAAGAAAACCATGAATTCCAGAGAAATGGTAAGCGCTCTTAATCAGGGCAGTTAAAAGAATTTTACCCCTAATATGATAAATACCAGTTCTAGGTAAATTATGTTAGTACAAGTTTATCTCCCTTATCTGTCAACTTCAAATTATCAGACCCTAGAAAACCAACATTCTCAGCTATCACAAATGGCCACACATTCTGAAATGAAGAAAGAAGCTGGAAAAATAAATTCCAGCTAATAAAAAAGGAATATTATCAATAATTGGACCCAAGTACTCAAAATTCTGCTCAACAAAATGAAAATCAATCATTTAAAAAAATATAGAAAACCCCAATGCCAATAAAAATTATTTTTTAATATCTAAAGAATAAGTATAATGCAGTAGAGCCGTCAAAGAACAGTTTCTGATAAAATACGATAAACTAACATGCACATAAGCAGGGCCACCGCACTGCCAGGAACGTGCGGAAAACAGGTCCAATTTATCATTGCTAATGGCACTTCCCTAATTGTTTCAAGCTTTCTGAAGAGCACTCAGGCAAGGTGCCACTAGATCTATAAACTGTTGAGTCCTTTTATCTGCCGATTCCACTTTAAGGAATACATCGCAAGAAATCAGCCAGTAGGAAATAAAGCTGGGCCATGGAGGAAGCCCAAGGAGGAGGTGGGCAGTGTGAACATGCCTATCACAGCAGAGCCCGGGCAATGGAGGGGGCCACAAGGATCACAGGCCCACCAGCTGTAGGGCCTGTGTCATCACAGGACCTGAGCACATCAGAGAGGCAAGAAGAGCACAAGCTGGAAAGACTAGGGAAGAGGTGGGCTCACCCAAGTATGGGTTGAACTGGATTACCCAGCAAAGAGAAAGCTTGGAGAAAAAGAGGTGGTGAGGGACTCTAAACCAAATCTCCCCACCGCCAGTTTGTTCACAGGCAAGATACCACTACCTGCACCTTGACGGATATTCATGCTGCACAGGTGACCCCAACCCATCCTCTGAAAGACAGAGAGAACGTGGGTGTGAAATCTGAGTGGGAATGATGTTACTCTGTAAGAAAATTGCTCTCGGGGCGCCTGGTGGCTCAGTCGTTAAGCATCTGCCTTCGGCTCAGGTCATGATCCCAGGGTCCTGGAATCCAGCCCCGCATCGGGCTCCCGGCTCAGCGGGAAGCCTGCTTCTCCCTCTCCCACTCCCCCACTTGTGTTCCCTCTCTCGCTCTCTGTCAAGTAAATAAATAAAATCTTTACCAAAAAAAAATAATAATTGCTCTCGTTCACTAGAAGCGAGTTTTGACAAACCTCACGTTATTACTGTGAAATCACTTACAGCCCCGTGATGGATCACCACACACCAGCATGTCGCCACCCTACAAAATGGCAGACACCATCAACAACATCAGTAGGTGTTCAATAAGCATTTACTGACTTTTAGTTCTCCAAATAATATCTAATAATTTACAAAGCACTCCCTCAAGTTACCTCTACTTTTTTACCTCCCTTTTATGGCACACATTTAAAAAAAATAAAATTAAAACTATGTAATCTTTTTGCAAGGCTAAGTTTTATGTAGCAGGAATGGATGGACAAATATAACCCAAAGCATGTACTTCTGCACAATACCAGACATAGTCTTACAGCTTCTGTTGTTGTGCAGCCATCACTCAAAAGCTGCGATTAGAGCCTTTGGGCTCAATAAAGAACAAAGTAACTTCAGGGTCCCACAACTTAATTAGAGAATACAGACATATTCCAAAACACCTGTGTGTGCAAACCAGGAAATTCGTCAACGGGGGGGAAAGAATGCGTATGACTTCTGAATTATAAGAAAACTGGTGGGACTCCTGCTTTCCTCACTGTGTTTCAGTGCTTATGCATGAACGTAGCATTTAATTACCTTCACGAGATAAG